AGGATCCTGTCGGCGGCCGCGGCGCGCTGCCTTTTGTTTTCTGGCTCTGCTGAAAGGTGTTTTTTTTTTTTTTTAATTTTTTCCCCATCAAGAGGAGAAACGCCCCCCAGGTGAACTCCTGAAACAGATTGTACTGAACTTCCAGGTTTTCTGCTTCCCCGCCCTCGCTCCCCGTCACTCCCGGCACGGTAACTTTCCGAGCGGCCAAGTTCACTTGCTCTGGCAGCATCATTTTGAGGAATTAGTGCCGCGAGCATTAAGGGATAGGATTGAGGGATTAAACTGGAGGCGGATTAAAGGAGAAGCCTCCTCAGGTAGACTCTTGATGGTTTGTGTGGAGAATTAAAGGGTTATCTAAAATAATCTTGAGCCTAATTAACCAGGAAGGAAGTGTCCAAGTGAGTGGTGAAAGACTTCGTGGGGGTTCAGGAGTAAATACACTCTCTGGGAAAGCCTCAGGTGGTTGCTGCAGGGCCTCAAGCCGGAGCTCATCAGCTCTCAGCATTGAAGGAAGGAGTGCCCTATTCCTGGTTCTGGGGTTTTAGGAAACCCAGATATTTCTGACCCTAACTCCCCGAGGGGAGTCCTGGAATGAAGAGCGCCTGGTAGTGAATGGAAAGAACTTCTTCGTGATCCTCCAGGGAGGAGCTGTAGAACTCATTCACAAGAACCTGGTGGGTGGCCGTGGGGTGGGAGGAGAAAGGCCTGGGGTCTTCAGGTGGCAGAAGAGAGCGTCCAGGCCGGGTAACTGACCTAGGGTCCGGGATGATAAAGCAGCAAAGATGCAGGAAGAAATGGCACAGAATAGAAAAATAGTTGGTGGAGGGACTAGGCCTTTCAGCCTCCTGTCTGTTCCTTGGCCCTTATCCCAGTGGCGTTCAAACTTTTTTGATTGTGTGTGACCCACTGTTGGAAGTAAATTTGACTTCACGACCACTACACTCACAGGCATACAAATGAAACTGAAACAAGTTTCATGAAATAGTACTAACCCCTTCTGCATGTGGTGCATACTGGTATTCTCCTTTTTCTTTTTTAACACCTGCTGGTTGACTCGTATGGTTGGGACTCCTAGATACCAGTAATTTCAGAAGCTACTGTTTCTGACCAAAAGCAGTCTTTATTGGTAAATAAAAACGGATACTTTGTAACTAATAATATTCCTTATCCCCTATCCCATCACCTACAGGTAAATGGATGCAGGCATGGGACTGTGGGAAATGCTGAAGGCTAGCTAGAAGAAACGGCAAGAGAGCACTGACAGGGTCCGATTCCGCAGTGGTATAGCACTGGCAGTAGACTCTAGGGAGGGGAAAGAGAAAAGGAAAGCCCTACACTAACCATAGATGCAGTTGATGACATTAAAAAGCACTGCAGAGCTGGGACCCTCCCCCTGCCTTGTCAGTCCCAGCTGTGACATCATTTGGATGGGTATATGTATATGGAATATACATACAAGGGGATATGTATGTAATGTTTTCAAATTAAGGTTAGTGTGGACAAGAAGGGATTGTAACTGGTCCTTGGACTCTTTGTGCAGGCGTTTTACTATCATGGTGTTTCATGTAGTTGTAATCCTCTATTTTGATCACCGTTCGTACCCAGTTTATACATGAGCAAGCAGACCAAGGGTGATTAATTTGGAGACATTAACTAGCCAATACATACTTGACTCTTAAGTTCAGTTGTCTAATGTATCCCACACTGTGTGAACCTCTACCCCCCAACTTTTCATCCTTACTGTGTCCAGAGGGTGGAAAGGAAGGGAAGGAGTGGGAGAGAGGACAGGGGAAGAGAGAGAGAATGTGTGTTTAGCTTTGGTTGCCTTTGGTTTTTTGTTTTTTCTGAAAGCTGCTGTTCCCTGCCCATAAACCTACCTCTCCTTTGTCACCTATCCCAGTCCAACAAGTCTCTGCATCTTGTAAAAATAGTCTGGAAAAAAAAAATACTCTGGAAAAAAAAATATAAAGTACCTCTATAAAGTGAAAGTAATATGGTGCATCTCCTAATGTAGAAGTTGGAATGAATGAATGCTGAGGTTCCCGGATCCTCAAAGGTTAGCACTAGGGCTCAGAGCTCCTGCTGTGTCCCTTATCTGGTGGTCTAGGCAGTCACTGTCCGGAGAGGTGAGATGCCAGTTCTCAGTTCCCCAGTGAGCTGGAGACATCACAGGACCAGACCATGTTTCCTGGTTCAGTTCCGTGTCCTCCTCACTCTGCTACTGAGGCTGATCTGCTATGTGTTACTCTTTAATCTTGGTCCATGTTGTTCAGTTGGGTTAGAGCACAATGCTAGTAACCTTGGTCCACCAAGACTTTTGCCTTCCTTAGCCTTTGATACCAAAAATAGTAAAGCAATTACTGGCTTCTTTATAAAAATCAGAATAGGGGCGCCTGGGTGGCGCAGTCGGTTAAGCGTCCGACTTCAGCCAGGTCACGATCTCGCGGTCCGTGAGTTCAAGCCCCGCATCTGGCTCTGGGCTGATGGCTCAGAGCCTGGAGCCTGTTTCCGATTCTGTGTCTCCCTCTCTCTCTGCTCCTCCCCCGTTCATGCTCTGTCTCTCTCTGTCCCAAAAATAAATAAACGTTGAAAAAAAATTTAAAAAAAAATCAGAACATATCACAGAGCTTCTCACGTGGGAGAGATTGGAGTTTTTTTCTCTTGCCTGCCTACCTACCCACTCCCCCGTGTTTCTTCCACCTGTGTCCTGTTTCGTTCCCTAGGAGCCCCTCCCTTTTACCCTGACCTACCCAGTCATTTACTGCCCAGCCCATGGCTATTTCATTCAGCTTCCCATCTGGTGGAAGTAACTGTTGGCACGTGTGCACATGAGAGGGCAAGAGAGAAGATGTGGGAGGAGAGAAATCCACGGTTGTGGTGCACCTTGCGGCTGGGGGAGGGGGGCGGAGAAGGTTGTGAGTGGCCTGTGGTGAAAGCGGATGTAAGAGGGTGTGAGGGAGGAGTGGGTCCTGGTGAGGGTGTGGGAGGGTGTGGTTGGACGTGTGCATGAGCACATGCTTCCAGCGGGAATACACTTAGGGATTCTCAGGCTGGTGTATGGCAATGGGAGAGAGCAGTTCTTTTATACTTGTGGATACAAGTTTTGGGTTGGACATCTGTAGGAGGGATCAGAGAAGAGGGTAGAGGCGTAATGCATGCGATTTTCATTGGATTCATGGTTTGAAAATTATGGTGGTCGTATCTACAAATGACGTGAGGACCGGGTCCTCAGGTTCAAGTGCAGCAGAGGCGCGCGCGCGTGCGCTCTCTCTTTACTCACTCTCACACACTCAGTCTCTCTCTGGAGCAGGGAGCCCTGGGATGGCAGTTCTGGCCATCTGGGCTACAAAGCTGCTATTGACACCAGGCCCAGATGCTTACTATGCAAGCCAGGTGGGAGGGTTTGGCAGCCAGAATCTTGCTTTTTCATTGTGATCAACCCATTATTCAAGCCTTCGATTCTTAATTTTTATTTTTTTTTTTCTGCCCAGTTGTGTGTGAGCCTGCAGCAGGTAAAGCTTTGGACACAATGAATCGTTGGGGCTGTTTCTTTATAAGAGGGTCACCTTATTTTTATTTAATGTTTATTTATTTTAATTTTTTTTTTCAACGTTTATTTATTTTTGGGACAGAGAGAGAGACAGAGCATGAACGGGGGAGGGGCAGAGAGAGAGGGAGACACAGAATCGGAAACAGGCTCCAGGCTCTGAGCCATCAGCCCAGAGCCCGACGCGGGGCTCGAACTCACGGACCGCGAGATCGTGACCTGGCTGAAGTCGGACGCTTAACCGACTGCGCCACCCAGGTGCCCCAAATGTTTATTTATTTTAGAGCACAGGCAGGGGAGGAGCGGAGAGAGAGAGGGAGACAGAGGATCTGAAGCGGGTCTGCCCTGAAAGCAGTGAGCCCGGTGTGGGGCTGGAGCTCACAAACCGTGAGATCATGACCTGAGCCCAAGTCGGAGGCTTAACCCACTGAGCCACCCAGGCGCCCCTGTAAGAGATTTGCTTTAAACTGCTACATTCCCCCCAGCCTGAGTTATTTCGTGGGGGGTCTGCAGGTAATTCCTGTGTGGCGTATGCTTGCTTTGGACTGCTGAGGAGGGCACAGGGGAAGGCTGAGGGGAGGAGAGCTGAAGTTTTTGAGATAACCTCTTCCTTTTTGTTCTTCCTGATGAGGAATGAATTACTACCCGTTCCTCAGCCGGTCGCCACCCCCTAAAGTACATCTAAACACCTGTTTCATTTTGTGAGTCTAAATGCCCCTAAGTTTATGTATTTAAGATCACTCACACCAGTTTTAATCTCCATACGGTCTCCAAAAGTCCACACCGTACAAGCACGTTCTTTTCCACAGCAGACAAGAGGGGGCATGGCAGGATTAAGGTTAGGTGTGGTGTCTGAGACCCAGCTTGGAGCACGGCCCACGTCCCCTGACTTGTGCAAATAGTAAGTGGCTCCAGCCGTGACAGGGGCAGTGACAAAGTAGAGTGAGAACGGAAGATGTGGGACATAATTTTGAGATGCAAAGAGCAGCCCTAAGCACGGCCAGCTCAGAGGGCAAAGAGAGGGCGCTTTCTGCCAACCAACCAGGAGGTCCTTAGAATGATTAACTGCCACATCCTTTCCCAGAGTTCCCTCAGATGTCAGTGGAATGCAGTTGTGGTTAATTTCATTAATCCCACGTTGGCAGAATCTTCCCCGGCTGGTGGTGATTCACCTGCTTGTGGTTTTCAGGGAAAAGTCAGTCTGTGGCCATCTGTGAATTCTGTTTCTTAAAAGAGAGTCAAGCAGGAGTAGGAACCATAACACCCACCACTTACTGGGTCCCCACTTTGCGGGGGGTTTCGGGGACCTGGTCTCTAATCCTTCTGACGCTGCTCATCACGGTAATGGCTCGGGGCGGTGGGGGGGGGGGG